TTTTACAGAAAAATTTGCCTACTCACAGTTGAACTGAGGTGTGTAGAATGGCAATGGGCAATATTCATTATCCTGAGGAGGAGGAGACAACCACATGATGAAGGTGTGAGGTGTGGTCCACACACAAGCCTGGATAATCTCTCCCAATAGGTGGCAGAAGTAGGCAGCCAGGGAGAGAGTGAGATGAAAAATCTATTGCAAAGATACCTGGAAAATACGACAGGAATAACCCAACCAAATAAGATGGCGAATCTAATCTGAAAAGGTGATAGGGAGAAATTCCCAGGTGGAGAAAAGGTTCCAATGGAGAAGCAGGTAGGAACAGAAACCATGAAAGGAATCCATGTGGGCAGCATAATACAGGATAACATGAACAGGATAGAGTAGACAATCCGGATCAAAGCAGGAATACAAATGGGAAATGGAAAGGAGGGGAACAGGTGTGAATGTGATGTCACCTTGAATAGCTACTGATGTCTTAGGAAAAAAACAGGAATCCGGATATAGAATAACATGTTAGAAAGGCTGAGAAAACCACTAGGGGGACATTCTGAGCTTCCGATTTGTTATTCATGACATATATAGAAGTAAGTGTATATAAGGGAGCATTTCCAAAAATGGAAAGAGGTGGGTGGGGGTGCCACTGTGTTTGGTTTATTACATGAGCAATATCTTAGCAAGTAGAAAATATAAGACCTTCTTATTTTATATTCTAGCTTGTCAATATCTGTAACTTGAGTTTCTAATTTGTATGAAACTACAGACTTTGTATTTTGACTTCACAAACATCTAATTTGAACCAGTGCTGCATTCAACATACCACGTGACACACAAAAATCAATGTTTATTTTTTTTTTAAATATTTACTTTTAAATTAAGAAATTGACTAATGTATAGTTCTAAAATATGAATTATAATCTACAGTTTGATACCAAACTTATTGGCATAAATTCATGAAATACTAGTTCAATAAACGAGATGACATGGCCTTTCACCTATGACCCTTCTTGAAAGGATTAACACTGTTTTAGAGAGGAAAATTACCATCACATATTTTAAAGAATTTGGTTTTATAAAGTATAGGTCTGTTCCAAATAATAGGGTTGCAATCCTAAAGCTAATGCTGGTTGCTCTCAAATATCACTTTCTTACTTGCTGTGATTTGTTGGTGTGTATTTACAAAAAGTCATGATATTTAATCAAAAACACCTTAGGTGAGAAAAAAAAAAGGTGAGACCAAAAAAAGGACTGAGCATGTTACTTAACTCTCTCAACACGAGGTCGATCAATTTGACTGAGTCACGTGACCTTTTGTACTCGTTTAAATTTGATATAAATTTAATACTTATAACTCTCTATGTATTAGGTATATGTTGACGAAACTTGGCAGTCTTTCAGTTAATATTACAAGTCTTTCACATACAAAAAGTTATATTTCTTAGTGAAGTATTTTTAATAAAATAAAATTAAGATTTGTCCATGAATATATTGAGTATTTGTTTTGAATAGTCCGTGTGCAAAGTAATTTTAATGTTGAAATTAAAAATACTTTTTGTGATCTCAAAAATCTGAAATTTCTTTTGTGTAATCCCTAAAACCTCCTAAATGTGTTTCAAACGTTTTTTTTCAATAAATCCTTATAGTTTATATGTTATTTTCTCTACCCTATCTCAAAACTGGATTGGTCAAATTGACTGACCTCATACAAACCCAAAAAAAAATTTAAATAAACCTAAATTAACCTTCTTTTCTTTCTAGAATCACTTTCAAATTGTAACATGAAACTACATTCGTTTATCCTAAGTAGCTCTAAACTCATAACATTATACATTTATTTATAATTAAATTTTATTGTTTTATTGCCCTCTGAACCATGTCTAACTACTATCTACATTATTGTAAGTTGTAAATCACTACCCACAAGTTACTCGCATGTGCCTCGTGAACCATTTTAATTATATAATTATTACTTATTTTACCTAGTATAGTGTTAAATAACTTAGAAAGATCCATACTTTTAATTTTAGTTACTTTTATAATAATAAATAAAGAATAAATATGAAAACAAAAAATAAAGTACTTACTTCTTTTTCTTGCCCTCGATTGTCGAGGAGAGTTAAGCCTGATTTTTTATAGTAATTATAGTAAAGCACTTAACAATTTTGATTTAATTAAATGATGCACCAAAGAATATAGACTAATAACATGCAAAAAATAGACAAATTCACTTACCTCTCAAAATTTTCCTGGCTTTCCAATTATTCGACAAGAGCTGTTACAAATTCATCCAAGCTAGTCATTAACTTCCCATGGGAACGATGTTGCTACTCCGAGTGAAATTGACGATTATCTGGTCAGAACACAACGTTATACAATACATCATTTGATAGATGAAAACCTTGACTTTCTATTGGTTATAGGTAATATATAATGAAACATAAGAGAGAACTATCAATGAATTGTGAAAGAAAGGATGTGACAGGTGATTTTCTATTTGATAGCTCTGTAACCAAATAAAATTGAAAGCTATAAAAAATATGGTCTGTTTGAGAAATAACAATTTTATGGAGAATATTCTACATTTAATTTCGTACATTTCTGAGGGGTGATGGATAAAATAGGGATGATGACATGATAAGACAAAATGTGTCACGTGGGACACACTAGTGGAAATTCAGGATTTTTGATATATTTCCTTGTAGAATTAAGAACTTAAAACTTGAATACTATTAAAATATGGATTATTAGCTAAAATTTTATGCTATTATATTTGGTATAACATAAACAAAAAGTAGTTAAATAAAATTTTGAATCTAAGATATTACAACCTTATGTCATTAGCAGTAAAGGGTACCCAGGGAGAAAGGGTCAAATGAAT